ATATATATATATATATATATGACGTCAGTATGCTGCGTGGATGCAATACACTGATTACATTGTAAGGGTCAATGCACTATGTATAAGCGTGTATACATGTTATTACATTGCATTGTTGTGCCAGGTGTTCTTTGGCGTATCAGTGAAACCGCATTAAAAGTGAAATATTGCGAACTTACTTAATTACAGTAAATAATATATGTCAATCAAACAATTTCTCCTAATATGGCTCATATAATATTTTCCAATATTTGCTATAAATATATTATTTTTCAGAGATCCACAATTTTCAGCAATATGGAGTCTGCTCTCACTGACGTCATCGGGATTAGGAACGATGACTGAGCTTACATTGGATGTATGTTTTACACAGATATACTTTAAAATACATCCAGCCGGCAGTGATGCAATGAATGAATGTGAGGTCAAGTTATAAAAAGGGATTACCTGTGATCTATTTTTTATATGTCGTATATTCTACAGTATTGCGCTTTTAATGTAATTTGTTATGGAGTGACTGCAGATTGTTACATATTTGCTTATTTTCAGTTCATAAACAATTAATTATACGCGACCGATTTTATAAAAGGTCAGCCGACTAGGTTCGAACAGGGGAGTGTTTGAATATTTTGTTTTTTGTTTACGACTGAACGTCTAGTCTCTTGATGAGGTTTGTGTGTATTGATGGATAACGAATCCGTATATCTTGCATACAGAAGAACTCTACATTAATGATCAGTTTACTTCATCGGTTAGCGTAAGGTTTTCAACAAACAATGTTGCCTATCAACAATAAAAATATCTTCGATAGGAAAAATGCTGCTCAGATTTTGCGGCGAACTGTTTTGCTGCTTTGGACACTAGGTGGCGCTCCGACTATCTTCATTCTCGATGGAATGATAGTTCTATATCTCTTTAGCTTAAAACTAATTTTTGTTTGGAGAAATTGATATTATTTGCAGTGTACGTAATAAATGCGAGAATACGATTAAAGACACAGTCATAATTTGAAAGTATATGCAAAGAACAGCTAATATTAAAGGACGGTGATCGTCGCGACGCGTCGAATAAGATGAAGTAGCTCACGCCGCATGAACAATTAATTGTTTAGGGTTGTAACGGATGGAAAGTTCGAGCTTTACGTTCATTAACATCCAATCACACATAGCATAGTAAAACCACAGTCCCTTTATCAATCAATGGGGTAAAGGGACTGTGGTTAAACACATATTCTATGGTTGACGATTCATATGCAAACTATAGTTTTCGCAAAGTAGCAATTTTAAAATTGTAATTTATATTGTTTTTTCGTGGTATAAGTAGTATATATAAGTACTTGTATGAGTTATCGTAGGTTACTAACAAATCTAAACCTCCCGGATTTCAGAATTTAAATTGTAATCGAATTACGTCAGAATTGACCGTTTCGGCAAAGACACTAGTCTAGTGTCTTTGGTTTCAGTTATGAAATGCATTTCTAGTTTAGGACTTTATGTGTATGAGCGCATGATTTATATTAATGTCAACAATTCACTAACTTTAATAATTGAACCTTTAGTAATAAGAGTACATATACTCACACAGTGAGTTCTGCATAACAAAAGCTACTAGTTTCTGCATGAGAGTTTGTTTTAAATTCCATTCAAAGGCATGAAATATATTTTTTCCGGTGTAACTAAAATAATTCAAAATGTGCCATAATGACTTTGGCTTGCGTCCACTTTATCAATCAATCAGCGCACTTCAATACGAAGTTCTTTATTCAGAATATATATTTCATGCATTTGAATAAATATTCTCTAAACACAGTTATTGATAAAATAGATTAGTATTATATCAAAGTGAGCATTGATGTTGTTAAAAATAAACTTTTCTGAGACCGAGTCACAATAGTCGTGAATCATAGAAAGCTTAGAATGAGTTCCTGTGTGCTGAGAGTAAATATTTAAAATTATTTCAAAACTTAAGATTTCCCTTTCAAACAAGAAAATGTCAATTTGAGATGCAAAAATTGAGAATAATGTGACCCACAGTATTGAAATTTCTAATACTCACAGAAAATAAATTTGTTTGTCATCCGTGATTTGCAGTCTTATTTTATCCGTAGCACACACGCCACATGTTCAATTTATATCTAAATATCGACATATCAGAAATTGGCTAATAAAAAAAAAACAAAAACAAAAACAGAAAATCACTGTTCATGGTTTTTTATAACAAACTAATCACGTCCCTGGTTTACATCAAAGCATATTACATACAAAATCTTACTGAAAAGCGATAATTGTTTGTTTTAGATATAGGCAGAAAATTTGTTAATTAATATGCAAATTAGATAATTAATATGCCAAGATTTCAACCCAAAACTAATCAGGTTCATGATTGGGGCACCTATGTATCAATTTCATTGAAATGTCACTTGAGATGTCAGTGAGAAAACCAAAAATTGTCTAATTATTATGTAAATTAGGTAATTAAAATTCATGGATTTTTACCAAAATCTGATCAAGTCTTTTCATTGTCCTAGAACATCTATGTACCAAGTTTCATTGAAATGTGATAATTAGTACTTGAGATTTTAGTGGAAAAGTAAAAAAACTAATTATTCATTATGCAAATTAGGTAATTATTAAATATGCACAATTGTTAACCCAACACTAATTGGGTCTGTGTATTCTCCTAGAGCACCTATATACCAACTTTTATTGAAATGTGATTAATAAATAGTACTTGAGATATCAATTGAAAGGCAAACAATTTGTCTAGAGAGAGTCTAAGAGGTTCCAAAAGTAAAAGGTGGGAACCCTCCCCAATGAAAAGAAGTCTGGACGAAGTCCCTTAGGGACGACGTCAAAAGATCGATGTCGGATAAAAAACTTATTTGCTTTAGTTTGGGGGGTTGGGTTGACTTCAAAAAGTTTCCATCCGACAAAAACGATTTCATTTTTTAATGAAGTAAACAAAATCTTGGAGTATTTGTAGTTTGTTTTTTTTCTATCCAATCATGGACAGAAATAACAGAAAATAAAAAAAACCCATCCAAGACGAGAAAATGGTTTGGTCCGAGTGTAAATATGTGCATCAAATGAGGTGCATATGTAAAGTCTTTTTACACCCACCCGACAACCAACTGCTATGCCATACTACTGTCCGATTATCAATTTGTATTTAATGGTGAATGTAGTCTGACGCCATGATCAATATTTATCAATTAAGTTTCAGTGGGGGGGGGGGGGTTGCGAAAAACTAAAGGAATTAAGTTTTTTATCCTACATTGAACTTTTGATGTTGTCTCTTACTCTGGCCTGGCAAAGGCAGAAAATTGGGGTTGGTAATGGGAAAGTACTAGGCTCACTATTGACGTCTCGGGAAAGAATAAATGGATGTTGGGAGGAAGAAATTTGAAGACTGGCTATGCTCCGTGTGCACAATGGGAGATACATACTGTATTGGGAGAGACTTATTGGATGAGTACAGGGACTGAAATGTGATTTGTTTTCGGTGCACAACTTCAGATTTGTGTAAATTACAATTCTTTATGTAAATTAGGTAATTAATATGCAGAGATTTTTACCCAAAACTAATCAGGCCTGTGTATTATCCTAGAGCATCTATGTGCCAATAAGTGGTTCTTCAGATATCAATGGACCAGAGATGCATATGTATGCATGTATTGAATTGTGACATTAACCTACTACGGTGTACAAGTGGCACGTAACACATCCTGCATGCAAGGTGGTAGGTAATACCTGTGTTTTAAGCATTACATGCAAGTGGTTATTTTGTTGGGTTCCATGAACATGTGCAGCACAAGTTATACCACTCTTCCAGTAATCAACACTTTCTTCCAGAATTGGTCAGTTTCTTTGTTAATCAGGCAGTATCAGGCCCAAGTTTTTCTTTCTTGATAAAGTGAAACTCATTCCTACTTTTCAAAATAAGCATTTTTTTCCCCCTAGTGGTAAGACCCAAGACTCGAACCATGTTCCTTAATTTTGTTCAGCCAACTCTACCGAGTTATTCAGGCAATTGAGGGAATGCAACGAGTGGCCCATGATTACACATGCATTGTATCAGGTGCGTCATGTACATCGGGGTTTGTTTTTTTATGTGATCATTGATCCATTGTTCATCTGCAGAAAAGATCACTGAGCAAGCAAACTCAGGTTTTATAAAAACTTTATTTCATTAAAACTGGTAGTTTTGTAACTGATCAGTCCATTATACATTAATTAACTGTTAATTGGGAACTAAATTAAAGATAGATAGATGTGAAATTCACATCTATCAACATCAATTTATGAAAGAATCTTTAACAAACAATTTGTGTCATATCCAAGATGACTAACAGAGTGGTTATAAATTTGGTCCCTTGGCACATAAAAACATTTCCACTACCTTGAAAAGTTTGCTGTACAACATAGCGACCCGGAGTAATCACACACAACAACATATAGCACTATGTCGCTCATTCTGGGATTATAAATTTACACATGTACATGTAGCCATCAAAGTCTACAAACAATTCTCAGCATCACGAATACAAAACAGCAGAGATTAAGTGACCTTGAACTACCAAGAACAACACTTTTTTTGCCAGAAACGATTTGCAAAAATACTGGGAAAACAATGAGTTATGTGTGCCACTCAGTATTGAGGCTTAAATGATGGAATATGGCACAAATTACATTTACAAAGTTTGTTCGATGCAGTATCTTGTTGTTGATCTTTTCCCATGAAACACAAAACAAGTAGAGTGGAAATATTCCAAAGCTGCATGCATTAATGATGCTGAGAATTAGCTGTATCTTATGATGGATATCAAGATTGTGTTCCTTACATATATAACTGATGGAAATCAAAACTTGTTTTCTTCTTCAGAATTTACCATTTTTGAAAGATTGGCCACATTTCCAGATCGTAAAAGTTTAACAGTGATGAGAAGTGTGAATTCAACATAATTTAAAATAGAAGACTAGTACATGTATGTAATAAACAGAAAGTTACAGCAAATATACACTCTATATTAAGACAAGTCATTATCAATGACATAGTCCCTGTTCTGTTTTTAGTGACTGTGTGAATTACAAACAATGAAAAATATATATTCTAAATGAATATTGGGAGAGTTCAGCATGACAATGTCCTACAGAGTAAAGCATTTCTGAGAAATAGTAGATGACATGTTCAAGTGCTTATTTTCGTTGTTTTGAAATGACCGCCATTCAGCCAACTCCATAATAAGATGTTAATGATGCATGTCCAAGTTGTTCTAAATCAAATAGCCCTTGCATTAACAAAGATGAGTGAAATGTTTTATGTATTTTCATCTGACAAAAGGTTTAATACTTGTTTTGTGATTTGTTTTACAGTGATATTGTTAAATGGAGATTTGGAGTATGGGGGGAAAAAAAATAACAAATCTGTGTGCTTCTTATTTAAATAATGTGAAATAAAATATAACTTATATGTAGTTTCAAAAAAGCACCCACTTGTGTAAGGAAGTATTACGAACAGATCGCACTCAATTTGAATGAGAGTGATTGATAGATAACGAGTGATAGAACATGTCAAAGCAAAAATGTTTTTTAAAATTTCAAAATATTTACAAATAAACAGACTGTTCACTTTCAGCAATAGATAATGGAAGATGGATCTAAGTAAGTTATATTAGTATTTATTGATACTAAAATCTACTTTTCGTAGGAACTAATAAATACTTTTAACTATAGACTTGGAATATAGTTTAAGAAGCATTAGAAAATGACTAAAATTCACAAAAGCAGTGGAGCTTACATTTTCAAATATACTAACTGCACTTCAACCATAAACAAGTGTTTCCACAAGGGAATATTCAAGAGTATACATGGTACACCATTTTGCTCCTATAAAAAAAGTGTCATTTTGATATTGAGAAAAATAATTTTATAAGGAGTACAACAGTGGAGAGATAACAAAAAAACATACTAGAGTGCATTTACAACTTCTCAAGTGAGCAGAAATTTAATGTATACTTTACATTGTCAATTGCTGTGTTGCCAAATTTATACAATACAATTTAAAATAACAAAAACATTAGTTATAAATTGAGACCTGACAACCGAATTTAAGCACTGATTGCACAAAATGAAATTGTTACTATCACCACTTTTTATCTCAGTTTAAAATCTGAGTTTCAGTTTTAAAGTGAGAATCACCAGCTGAGATATGATACTAGACTTAAATCCACAGACATAAAGATATACACATGGTACTGGATACAACTGTCACTTGCTTATTATTGAAAAAAAACAACAATAGGTTGCACAAAACTGAATGTGAAAATGATTTCCCTCTGGCAGGATTAGAAGTACAGTAGCTGATAAAATTGGCAGTGTGTGCTAACTTCTATGACCGAGCGTCGGAAAGATCTATACTTTTGCCGAATAATTTGACAAGCTGTTCTTCATAATTACTAATATTCCTCTTCATAACATCCATGCATGGTCCAAGTAGCCTCTCAAAAGCACCAACATCTAGAACTGCATCAAAAGTCATGCATGATAATTATAAGTTATGTATTTGAATACATCGAAAGAATAAAAAAATACACTGATTAAGAAGGTACGAGTTTGTCACACCATACATGACAAACTGGGATTGCATTGACAGTATTTCAAGCTTAATTGAAATTAAAGTGGGATTGTCAGCAAAACTTAATTGAAAGTCAATTCAATTGTTGTGGAGTTTGCAAGTTTTACTGATCACAAGCTGAACACAAACAAAATTTTGTCGACAATACAACTTTAATACATACAAAATTGGTAAATTTATCAGAGTTCACATTAATGATAAATCAGTAGAAGTGATCCATTCAAAAAAAACATTAACAGGTGGCATCACCAATTAGGTATATATAAAAGGGGTTTAATGGCATAAAAAATGAAAGTGAAAATCACTACTGTCTAGTAATAAATAATTCCTACTTACATGCACATCTTGTATCACACATAGCATAGGCAGATGCCGCCCTTGGTTTATGTGTTACTAACGCCAACTCTGTAATACAAATATCAAAGATTGTTATAAAATAAACAAGACATAATTGTCACAGTTACGTCTTTGATGAAGAATTATATGGCCTTGGAAAACACAAACAATACATGGTTAAATTTGAAAAATCATTTTGAATCAAATCACAAAACAAAACTTATATGTCAAGGACACCTGAGAAACACTTGACATTTTTTGGGGGACAAAATGACCATTAGTCAGGTCATCGAAATGAAAAGCAAGCAACCAGACGATCAAGATAGCTTCACTGTTGCATTCTTGTATATTGTTCATAATACAACATGGTAAGAGATTTAAGTTAAACCATGTCATGATTATGGCCAAGGGTTGGACTATTCAGTATTTTAGGGGTATAGCAGTAAGTGTCATAGTAGTTATAAAACTATTCATAAAAATTGGAGAATTGAAGTTATTGTCACAAAACTAATACCTATATATATAGTATAAAACCAGCTGAGATAGTGAACGTCAAAACAAAAATGGCCCACCCGAGGTACTGACATATAAAATCAAAGAAAGCTTAGAAAGAACTCCCGTGTGCTGAGAGTATTGGAGACACATTAAAAATTAATTCAAAATTACTTGAACTTGAGATATTGATGGAAAAGCTTATGCAAATAAGGTAACTAATATGAACAGATTAAGTGTAAAACTAATAAGGTCTGCACAATGTAAAAGCAATAAGATCTGCGTAATGTACCAAATTTCATTGAAATGTGATTAGAACCAAAAATCTATTAATTATTATGCTAATTAGAGAATTAATATGAGCAGATTTTAACCAAAAATTAATCAGGCTGTCTATTGTCCTAAAGCATTTATGTACCAAATTTTATTCAAATGTGATGATCAGCATTTGAGATACCAGTATTAATTAATTATGTTAATTAGGTGATTAATAAGCATAAATATTTACCAAAAACTAATAAGGTGTATAATCCTAAGTTCATTGAAATGTGATGATGAGTAGTGTTATCAACAAATGAGTGGTTCTTTAGACATCAGTGCAACAGCAAAAAATTAACTAATTATGCAAATTAGGTGATTAATAAGCACAATTATTTACCCCCAAATTAATCAGGTCTCTGCATAGTCCTATAAGATCTATGTCGCAAGTCTCATTGAAATGTGATGATTAGTACTAGAGATATCATGCTAATAAGGTGATTAATATGCACAAATATTTACCCAAAAACTAATTAGGACTCTGCACATTCCTCAAGTAACTATGTACCAGGTTTCATTGAAATGTGATCATTACTACTTGAAATATCAAAAGCTGAAAATTAATTAATTATGCAAATTAGGTAATTAATATGTACTGATATTACCCTAAAAATGATCAGGTCTGTGAAGTGTCTTATGACATCTAAGTGCCAAGTTTTATTGAAATGTTATGATTAGTACTTGAGATATCAGTGGAAATGCCAAAAATTGATTAATCATTACGCAAATTAGGTAATTAATATAAACAGATTTTTACCCAAAACTAATCAAATTTGCGCATTAGTTCAGAGCATCCATGTGCCAAGTTTCATCAAAATTTGATTAGTGGTTTTTGAGATAACGGTGGAACAAAAAAACTGAACAAAAAAGCCATTCATAACTGACCCACGAACCCGTGCATGATCGTGTTAGGAAAAGCTGTATTTCACTGCAGTTAAATTCAGTAATTTGATTGGGCGCGCCAAGAAGCTGGCACTACCAATCAGCGATGCTGTGTCATAAATTTGAAGATACGGGGGTCATCACAGATTAAAACAATGACGGCGTGTAGGCTCTGCGTTGATTCACCCGAAGTCAAAAACAGAAGGTCTATGTTGGTTGACACATTTCCAATTTTTGTTATTCCAACGTTGAAAATTTTGTGTAGACAAATGAATGGAGACAATGGAATGTCTAAATATTTGCGCAAACCGCGTTTTAGTAAACTGACAAAACTGTTGAAACAGATAACATGTCGACTTGTCCGATCCGTTCTTCATTGCAACTAACACATCATTCCCCTTAGAAACAGCACAGTTTTTTCTTTTGATGGTCAGGAAGCTTGTTCACAGAGAAAAAGCTAGCAACACGTTGATTTCTATATTCAACCACAGGGAGCCCAGGAACTATGATCAACTGTACGTACTTCCTATGAGCGGGGGGGTGGTGGGGGTGGGGGGTGTTGGGTGTATCGGCTGGTATCTACATGTAGTGTAAGAAATAGACAAGGGATGAAGGCTCCAGCGCGCTCGTATTTTTTTTAAACTGGAAAAAACAGACGGGCAGAATGAAAAATAAAAATCTAGAAAAAATACCAGGTTGAAGAATATTAGTTGCTCTTTCAAATTGCGCCAAAGCCTTACCTATATTTTACCTATATCTGCAGAATAAATCAAGAAAACTACACAAATTGACTCCATTTATGAATAATTAACAGTTGGCCCGATGGCACGACACAGTTGGAGGCGAAGAACCAATCACAAGACTGGTTACGAACCAACTT